AAAGCAAAAGAGTGGGAACAATAGCAGCCGCATCTACCCAGAGGAGAAATAAACAGTTCAGAAAAAATGAGGAGTATTTCTATCCTGAATATACTTTATACTCTAGCATACACTTTACAGAGTTTAAGAGGGGAGAGGGTGAGGTGGGCAGAGAAAGTATGAATAATGTGCCAGAGTTTACAAAGGGGATGGAGAAACATACAGATATACAGATACAAGTAGACTGCTTACATTTCTTTTTAAAAGAAAGAACTAAAAATTAAAAAAAAAACTTTTAAGGTTTCTTATATGAGGAGGAAGTTAAGAGAATAGACTAGACCAGGGATAGAAGTTAGCCTTCTGTAAATATAGTTTGTTTTCTAGATTGCTTTGGAAGCAGTAAACCTTACATATCGATAATTATATATTAGACAATATCTTTTTAAAAACTGAAAAACAAATGAACCTCACTATTGAGTTCGTGGTTAAGCCCACATAAAGTTAACTATAAATGTATAGGGAATAAATGGAACAGAGAAACATGAAACCACACCAGGAGGACACAATCAGTAACATTCAGAAAGTGAGAAGTAACGTAGGCTCCTGCTTTGAACATTCAATTTGTTAAAAGTTTTTTTCTCTTTGAAACAGGAAAATCTTAACACTAAGCATTTGATGATATAAAGAAATTTCTGTACTTTTTCTACTGTGACAAGGGTATTCTGTTTTCTGCTTTGCTGTTTAATTCCTATCTTTCAGGGAGAGACATACTAAAGAAAAAACAAATGACTGGGAACTAAAAACGAAGCAGACAAACACAAGCCATGTTTGGGTCCCGCAGATACAAGCAGCCGGGCAGAGGGCCTGCACAGAACTGTATTAACATTGGCCCAGATGCTTCCAATGAGCAACCAGGTTCTGTAAACCACTGATCTGGAGCAAGCCATATCAATAGGATAAATGACCCACAGTTATAAATGGAACCACATGTATCCAGAAGTACTCTTTTTGATGACAGGAATCAGTATTTGTAATAGCCACAAATGGCTAAAACTGACATCTCTGAATTCTACAGTACTTATTTTTTAAGGTACTTAAAGAGTTTAGTTAAATAAATATTTACTTAGCTCTCTGATTTACGTAGTTCCCTAAGCAAACACTTCTTGGCTTCTTATACATATTGAACAAACCAGGAGAACAATAATGTCAAAAGCCTTAATGTCCAGGCACAAAGCAATTAGGGCTAGTAACAACTTATGATCTATAAACCTAACCATCAAAGAGATTAACGAGAAAGCCTTTTTCATAAAGTAACTGGAGCAGAATGTTATAATCTGTGAACCACAGAAAAGTTAGTTTAGGCTATATCAGACAACTTCATTCCAACTTAGTCTTATTTCACTTATCTCACAATCTCAAAACTCGTGTACAAAACCAATGCAGGAAGAACCATTAAGAAATAAATAATTTAAGGGGAAAATGATCACTTTTAATCCTGAGTAAACCCATCTCAGAAAGACAAGCAGAAAAGAGTCAACTGATAAGTAACTGATTCTTTGGTTAGTGATAAATGAAACATCCCCTTAACTTATCCTGTGAGCTGCCAAGTAAAGACTGTCACAGAGCAAAATGAAAAGACACTGCCATGATGTATCTGGTCAGATGCTTTTTCTCTGATTCAGGTAGCTCTCCTTAAAAGCACACACAACTGAGAAGGGATTTCCCAATCCAGACATTATATACATGGAGCTTTAGTAGAGAAATGGTGTTCCAGGATTCAATTCATCCACAAAATACGATAAGCAGTTATAGAGGCAGAGATTATACAGCTTAGGGACTAAAGTTGTAATCGCACGTCTAATGGATCAATTCAAACCACACCAGTACTAATACAATGAGGTACAGAGACGATACCGGGAGGATCAGGCCTTTTTTGCGTTCGCCAGGTGACTCAAATACCTCTTCTGATTTACCCAAAACCAGTGTGTCTACAATACCTGACTTTGCCCAAGACGCTGCAAATTCAGTGGAGTTTAAAAATAATTTAAAGGCAAAGGGTGTGTTTCAAAAAGCAAGCCCCAAATACAAGAACTCAGTGTCTAAGACCCTGACTTTAAAGCTATCTATACATAAAAGCTCAGGGAAGAAAATGTTGTCACACTGAACTTTTACGCTTAGTTACCCATCCCAGAAAGGCTTTTAAGGCAGAGAATGATAAATCCCAAAATGATTTTGAGATAGAGGTGGGGGGGGGAACTACCTGCCCACAGAAGTTTAGGATTTTATGTTTCAGCTGTTATCTTATGAACACCACTAAACAGATCTAGTTCTTCAGGGCGGAGGTATAGTTTGCCTGAAAAAAAATCATTCTGGTAATAGAATATATGGCTTTTTGGAGCATGCCATTTAAGGGAGAGAAAAAAAATGACCTCAGCTAAGTGGGAACTTAGATATTCAATGGCTGAATGTGGGAGGGAATAAGCTTGAAGTCTGAGAGGGGAAGCTGGAAGGAGGAGGAAGAAAGTACACTAGAGAAGATAAAGGATGTATTTTTAGACAGGTGGGTTACTGAGTAAGCAGGTTCCATCACAAGAACAGAACTGCCAATTAGATAAGTAATTCAAATTGTGATCAGACAGATGTTCTATAAATATTTGCTAACTGGCAAATGATTATTAAAACTACTTTGGTAAACACTGTATTCGAACTGAATTTAGCTCCACGTGTAACTCTGGCTTACTAAACCTTTTCGTGGGCTTTATTTTCCAGCCTATTAACCTTTATAGGTTAACCTTTATTCTCTAAAATACCTTCTATTCTGCTACATTTATTTAGAGAGGTAAGTATGCAAAATATTAACAAGATTTTAAAAGTATTAGAAAAAAAATTTTTTTATGCTTAACAACGTTTGTAGGCTTTCTACAAAAAGCGTAAGTTATTTCAAAACAAATTATTTTTCTTTCTTAAATTTATCTCTACAGCCAAACAGTGAATCTGATACAGTTTCCCTAATCAGTATCTCACCTTCTCTTTTCAATCTCTTATGATTTTTGCCCTTCATATTTTTTGTAACCTAGAAGTAATTTCTGGCAAACAACTCATAATTCTGGCCATTTTTATGGATATGGAAAGATCAGTATCTATTACCCTTAAAGACAGAGTGGTCTCTGAGTATTATTCTAGTACTCCACAAGAAGACCCACAGGGTATGATGCAATTACCAAGAAATAGTTCTCTACAGAATATTTTCCTCTATAGAGAAACCACTCCTCACTCTATGAGAAGTGACAACAGGACACTTCACCATGTAACATGACCATGTTTATACGCAACTTTTAGTTCTCAAAAGTATTTTGACATACCCTTTAGTTTTTTAATAGCACTTTTCCTCTGAAAAAGTCCAGGTACTGGATCTGGCCTTTGAATATGACTTGAAAATCACAGAGAAAAGAGGGAGGAGAGAGGAAGGAGAGGGGAGAGAAGAGAAAACAGGAAGAGAGGGGACAGGCAGAGAGAAACTATTTCAAACACAAACATTAAAAATTTAACATGATGTGGCAGAATAGTCACTGTGAGTCAAGAGACCTGCTTCAAATCCCAGTCCTGCCAGTAACCAGCTATATGACTTCCTGTGAGTCACTGAATTATATTTCTTACGTTGTCAAGAGTGATTTTAACTTAATGTTCAACTTAAATTTAGCTTTATAAAAACCTACTACAATTAAAGTACTTTCAAACATCGTGTTATAACAACAGTTCAATTAAAAGTACATCATTTTGCCACATGGAGTTACTCCTTCACTTTTGTCTCAGTTTGACCTGCAGCCTGGATTATTCAGGTTGCACACTCAAGATGTACTTTGGAGGAAGATGGAATGGGGGAAGCTTCCTTTGCAACATGGGATGGTGCTGGGCCGGTGAGGGAGTTTAGGAATAAATGCATATGTCTGCAGAAAACCTGGTCATTCACCACTCAGGAGCCTGAAGAACAACTCTGCTTAAATTTCGGGGTGGAGAGGGGCAGTATAACCAGATGTGAGGGAGGCTCTGAGCTGAGGCTTTCTGGTAATCACAGCCTCCACCCTTCAAACCTTTCCTTCCCCAGTGGACACCAAACCAGCTTCCAGTTCCGGGTTCTCAACCAATCCTATCAAGCCACAACAGAGGGATCCGCCGACCCGGGCACCGTTTCAGGGCTCAAGAGCGAGATTCACAAGCCCCCAGCACCTGTCGGCCTCACACTGTTCCCAAAAGAAGGGGGTGGGAGGGAACAGAAGGTCTACGGCCCGACCTTCCGGACACAGACTACCACCAAGTTCATGAGCCCTCTAGACTGAAACAACCTCCGAACGCCGGGGGAAGGGGCGCTGCTCGCCGTGACCCCCCCACCCCCCACCCCCACAGACTCCTCTCCCAGGGCTAATTCTCGGGTTTCCAGGTCTCCTTCTCCGTCCGCGGTTTCTCAGGCCTCAGGAACCCGGAGCCTGGGAAGCGGACAGACGGATGCTGAGAATGAAGGCAGCGGGGGAGGGTGCACTCCTCGCCACCAGGAGAAAAAACGGGAGAGCAAGGGTGGGAGCAGCTGTGTCCCCCGCGGCAAGGGCGGGAGACCGCAGGCCATCTATCGAAGGGTCTGTCATTCCTTCACTCACTCACCAGGAGAAGCAGGGAGCATCTGAGGTCGGGTAAGGATAGGAAGATGGCAGGGATCATGGTAGCGCCGGAGTCCGCGGCAGGGACAGGCGCTGGCGTCTGGGACTGCAGAAGGTTGGGTTAGGATAGGAAAGCGCTGGGCTCCGGGCGCCGGCGGCAGTGGAGGCTTCTCCCGGCAGCGGGACCCCGTCCTCTCGACCCGGAGCTCCAGCGGCGAACACCCGGGACAACTTCCAGAAAGGCCTCGCACACCCTCACTTCCGGGTCCTGCCTCTCTCAGAGCCCGTCGGAACATGTAGTCCCGCGCCATTCTCAAAGAGCACGTCATCAAACGCGCGGAACTCTTTTCCCATCAAGCTCTCGGGCCTGGTCCACCAAGTCGGCCGCGCGCGGGGCCTTGTGGGATAGAGAGGGAGTGGGGAGAGTTATTAGAGGACGTGAACTACAATTCCCAGAAGGCTGTGCCGTCAAGAGCCTCGCTCCGCCTTCCGAGTGGTTCCACTAGTTTTCAGCTCGGGGGGCTCCGTCCCAGCTGGATGTAGTGGCCTGGCCGGGCAGGAGGGGCGGCCCAGCGGGGGTCGTGCCTCCTGGAGCCGCCCCCAGGACGTGAGTCCTGGAGGAGGCGACGGTGAGTAAGAGGGGGCCTGGCTGGGGAGGCTCCTATCGGTCTGCAGTGCTTAGCCCCTGCCTCAAACTCTCGGCCCTCCTGGCCTGAGCTGTGGCCTGAACCTCCAATCACTGGCCTCCTTGCTCTTCTCTCTGCGTTAGTTCTAGCGTTATAAAGTCAGAGCCACCCCCTTGCTGGGTTTCAGTGGAGTGTGTTAATGACTTACCCGTAACTGTCACTTTGGACTCCTGTAAGGAATAGTTATGGGATGGACTGGGGAAGCCCGTTGTAAACTGAAAAGCCCAGTGCGACGGTGATTGCCACTGATGCGTGGATCACTCCTACAGGATGGTCGCAACACTTGCTAGCCAAGCAGTTAAGGGACTTAACCTGGGCCCCATTAGCTCTCCAGATTCATTTACGAACACCTAACTAGATCGCCGTGCCCCCAGTTGTAGCCAAGTTATCTCAGCTGAGCTTGCCTGGTAGCTCAGCTGCTGAAGAATCTGCCTGCGATGCAGGAGACCCCGATTTGATGTCAGTCACCATCTCTGAGAACTTCCCGAACAACCAATCCTTTGGTCCTAATCACAATTACTCTTCCGTTGCTTGTTGCACCACTTTGGGCTTCCGTGGTGTCTCAGATGGTAAAGAATTCGCCTGCAATGCAGGAGACCTGGGTTCTATCTCTGAGTTGGGAAGAACCCCTGGAGAAGGGAATGGCTACCTACTCCAGTATTCTTGCCTGGAGAATTCCATGGATGGAGGAGCCTGGCGGGCTATAGTTCACAGAGTTGCAAAGAGTCAGCCATGACTGAGCGACTAACAGTCCTACTGCTACAGCGCCGCTGGTTTTCTGCAGTTATTAGAGCGTTTATTACACTGGCTTGTTTTATAGTTAATGATGATGATACCTTTGCGTTTTATAGAATTTCATAACCAAGAGGTTTTGATCTATAAAAATTTATGAAAAACAGCGCTAAAAAATTTTTGTATACATTTGAGGTTTGTTTTTTTTTAAAGGATTTCTCAGGCTGACAAAATTAAATAGTGATGGAGTCAAGAGTTTTATTTAGGTCTCCTCTCTCCTAGTCTGGTGTTCTTATCTCTTTACTACTCACCAATCTCTCTGGTAAATAGAAATGAGGAGTTACAAAAGATCAGAGACAGATGAGTATGAACTCATTACTCCAAGAAACTAAACTTTGACCCTGGTCACCCTCTGGACTTAGTACTCAGCCTATGACTGATTTTTCATTCAACAAGCATTCACTGAAAACCATCTATCTACCTGTTTCTGTACTAAGTTGCTAAGAATTATGAGATGAGATATATATAAATATGTATAACTGAGATAAAATTTTTAGTTTATTTTCCAAAAGTTTTTTTTGTGTGATTCTGATGTGTCCAAAACTCTGATCGTCTGGAGTGATCTAAAGTGCAGAACAATGTCTAGAGTTCAGAACAGTGCGTAGCACATAGTTGGCACTCAACCTGTTAAATGAATTGGCATGGTCTACTGATTCCATGTTTCATATTTTACAGGAAGGTAGAGCTGAGGTAGCCAACGTTTACACTATATATTATTAAAGAACTGGACCTTGAGCCCAAGTATAATTACTCTTCTGTGTTTTAACCTCCACCCTGTTTTGCAGCTTAAGTCACTTTAATTTAATCCTGCATATAACTGGTTTTTCTGACATGACAGACTTGCTCAGACATGACAGAAGTCTCTCAAAAAGCCCATAATTTCTGCCAACACGTTAACTGAAATTGTCAGCAAAATAAAGCCATGAAGAGCTGAACTTTACAAAATTAAGAAAATACTTTTCACTTTAAAATAACCGGTAATCCTTGTTAATGACAATCAAGCTCATGAATTGTAATAAATTTATTTTACAAAAGAGAGTCACAGGGATTGGAGTTTCACTTTTTAAAATCAGAAGAGGGCTTGCTTACCCTTATGATAGATATTAGCTATAGCTAATTAACAGCTTCTCCCTTTAGATAGGTACACATGCTCCGGTTTGCCGTGTTACTTACCACTCCCCATGTTTCTTGTACTTATTATCTCCCTTATCCTTGTAAGTTCAAGTTTGAAACTTTGATAGGACATGTTAAGTTTAGGATGCAAGTTTATGATCATTGATGAAACTACTCCTCTTTCCTTCCATCAGGTACTTGAATTCTTCCTGCTCCTTTTCTGACATAATCCAGTCTCTGTTTAAGCACTGTTATGATAGGGAATGTACTGTTTTCCTATGCAGCTAATGCATTTCTAGAAGAGTCTATCAAACCATATCAAATGACCAGTCAGCAAAATTTTCCTTAATGAAACATGGTTTATCCTAATAGTATGGTTTCCAAGTTAAGTTCCTGAGGTCAAGATCTCTAACTAATCTCTAATTGCCCAGGTGAACACAAGAAGAGAACAAATAAAAATGCCTCCTTTTGTGGGCATGAAAGAAAGAATGAGGTACCTTCTAATTTAGCACTTAAATCTAGGTAATTCTAGCCTGACAAGTTTATATCATTATTTTGTGACTTGGTCGTAACGTTTAGTCCCAGTATTAGTTCTAACATTTAGTATTCCTTGGAGTCAAAGCACCTGTATTAACTTAGCCAGTCACTGTGCCTTTTGAACCCTGGGTCTAATGTTAAATACTTTGCCTTTTTTTTTTTTCTCTCAGCCCCTGATAAGCATCTTAGAAGCATCTAATCCTTTCATTTTACAGATGAGCGACTTATACAGAAGTTCAGCTGATTTGCTTCTTATGTCTCTTCTAAAACTAGGACTGTAGACATTTTGAATCCTGGTGAAGTGTTTCTAGTAAGCCGTATTATAACATATCCATTTATAACTGGTGAGATGGATTTCAGAAGTGTTTCCTGCGGATATTTATTGGTTTCATCATTGTTTCAGGTTGTTCCAGTTGTTGAGAGGACTATGAACAGGTCAGAGAACTTGCTCTTTCCCGGTTCTTCATTAGCATCCCAAGTTCATGCTGCTGCTATTAATGGAGATAAGGGTGCTCTTCACAAGCTTATCGTAGGTAAGCTCCAAGCTCCTCTTTAAGTACAGAAACTTTAAAAAATAACTCTTTGTCCTAAGGAAATTTGTTCATTTTAGTTTTAATTTGCAGTTTACTCACACATCTTAGTGGAAATACATTATTTTTATATTTGGTTTCAAGACTTGGACAAGAAAGAAATTAAGTCCTGAAACTTAAAACTGTGGTTTTTAGATTAGATGAGAAGTACTTGAGAAATACCTGTGTATTTGGCATCAAATCTAGTAAGGCTATGGTTTTTCCAGTGGTCATGTATGGATGTGAGAGTTGGACTATAAAGACAGATGAGCGCTGAAGAATCGATGCTTTTGAACTGTGGTGTTGGAGGAGACTCTTGAGAGTCCCTTGGACTGCAAGGAGATCCAACCAGTCCATCCTAAAGATCAGTCCTGGGTGTTCATTGGAAGGACTGATGTTGAAGCTGAAACTCCAATACTTTGGCTACCTGATGCGAAGAGCTGACTCATTTGAAAAGACCCTGATGCTGGGAAAGATTGAGGGCAGGAGGAGAAGGGGACGGCAGAGGATGAGATGGTTGGATGGCATCACTGACTCGATGGATAAGAGTTTGGGTGGACTCTGGGAGTTTGTGATGGACAGGGAGGCCTGGTGTGCTGTGGTTCATGGGGTCACAAAGAGTCGAACATGACAGTGACTGAACTGAGCTAGATGGGTACTCTAAGGTGCTAAGAGAATTAATTTGTCTTTTAATAATTCATCTGTTATTAGAGATCTCTGTAAGAACAGATATCTGGAATGAGATATTAAATAATGATCTATAACATTTAATATATGCCAAAGTAATGTTTACAAATGATTTAAAGTTCAGTGATTTTAAATTGATTAAATGTTCTTGTCATTGATTCAGCTGATTGAAGTTGATAGTGGTCACCCTGTCTTATATAGAGAGAAAGGTCCAACATGGAGGTTCTAGAAGAACTTCTAGAGAAGTTCTAGAGAATAAAGTGAACAGGAAAAAGACAGTGGCTGAGAATTTTCCAGGACTGCAAAAATCACAAATCTGCATAGTCAGAAGTTGTTAGTCCCAAAGAAAATAAATAATATATAAGTCTCTGTTATTTGTAATCTTGATACATACCACTAAATGTCTACTGACATCATGATTGACAACCTAGTCTTTAAAGTCAACACTACTTAAACCTCCATACCTCTTGTTTTAAAATTTATTTTCACTCTAAATGTCTCGTTTTTCCAGGAATTTCTACCCATGCACCCCATCTGGTGGCTAGGCTTTCTGTTCCTCAATATGACATAAATTTTGTCTTTGTTTCCTCTATACATCTATTCCCTCTCCCCTTTTTACTTTCTACCTCCTTACCTTCTCTGCTAAGCAAATTCCAACTCATCTTCAAAGACAAAGTTCTTTTACCACATTCTCTGTAAAGATTTCTTTTCTCTGTCAGAGATGTGATCCTCACTTCACCTCAGCTATCTACATTCAGTTACTCTTTGAATTTGATGTCTTCTACCAGCTCTGAATCTCTCACTCAGACACCCACCATTCAACTAAAACTTTTAGTTCCAGCTCACTTACTAATGAGAATGATAGTTTTTCAGTGTCCCTGAGTCCTCCAGTCCATTATCTTTTCCACTTTTGACCATCATTCTTCTTCTGTTTTTACTTTCCTTTCTATTCAGCCCTGATTGCACAGTCTATTATTAAGACCTTCCCTTGGAAAAACTCCCTTTCCTTCTCACCTGTTGCACCTGGCTGTTGCCATTCCCAACTCTGGTTGGACCTACTCCATCTGCCTCTGTCAAGCCCTGAGCAATTTAACCTGTCTGGAAGATCACGGTAACACCTTAGATTCATGCCTGCCCACTTCAGAAAGGCACTCGGGACTCTGCTCATCATACTGCATTTGTCCGTGTGACTGCCCCGGGCCTGTTTTTCCACTGAAACTCTGACTGCTGCCGTGTCTCCCTCCCTCCCTTTCTCAGCTCATGCTTATGCTTCTTACTGAAGGTGAAAACGCTAAATAGGAACTCTCCCAACTTGCAGCCCAATAACTTGTCAGCCTGCAGCTTCACCCATCTTCTTCTGTCTTCCTGCTAAAACAGAGCAAATATACCTTTCTGTCAAAGATAGTTTCTCCCTACGTCCTGTCTTCTCAGGGATCTTGTTTCATTTTTTTAACCTTGGATTGCTACGTCATCAACCTTTTCTTCTATTTGAAATTCTTTTATCAGCACTGAAGATAAACATGCTCTGTTAGCGCCATTGTTTAAAAATCCCGTCTCTGTTCCCTCTAGGTATCCCCCTCTAGGTATTGCCGTGTTTATCTGCCTGCCTTTGTGTAAATGTATGAGTACATGGGCTGAACTGCTTTAACAGTGACTTAGATGTGATAGAGGTATATTTCATTCTCATAATAGAACGAAGGTGAGTTGGCAGTCTGGGGTGGAGAGCATCTCTGCTTTACAAAATCATCCAGGGATGTTGCTAGAACAAAGGTGAGTTGGCAGTCCAGGGTGGAGAGCATCTCTGTAGCTCGGGCTTTACTTTGCCGTTCTCAACATGTGGCTTCCATCTCTGGGTCAAAGGCAGATTCTTCCGCTGTTGTCAGAGCCCAGCCAGCAGGAAGGGGGAAAGAGAGGGTGCAGAGTAGCAATTTGTCATCCTGGCAGTGGGCGGAGTTAGAGCCACGCCTAGGACCAAGAGGCTAAAAAAATTCTCTCCCGGAATGGCATCATGCCTGGCTAAAACTCTGGGTGCTCAGTTCCCAGAAAGAAAGAATGAGAGAGTGGGGGCAGTTATCAACCTCTGTCACCAACACCAAGCTTCTTGAGCCATCTGCACTCTTTATCCCCACATCTTTATCTCCACCTATAGTTTACTGAAAGAAAAGAAAATGTACTTTCTTATTTTGAAATATATGTACAGAGAAGTCCATAGAACTTAAATGTTCAATTTAACAAATAAATAAGAAGCAAAAGTGCATGTAGTCAACATTAGGTTAGAGAACAGGACATTGTTCTTCCAGAAGCCCCAGTTCATTCTTCCTTCCCTATTGGCGTAATATGCTGTCTTGACGTTTATGTGATAATTATATTGTAGTTTTGCCACCTAGTCATGTGTCTTACACTCTATAGTTTAGTTTTTCCTTTTTTGGACTTTTCTCCTAAATGTTCCATGTTTACTTGTGCTGAAAATTGTATATTCAGTTATATCACTTTCGAGCTCAAAACACTTGATTTGCTTCCCATTGTATTTGGAACAAAATTTTGAAACTACACCTCTTTTTCTGTCCAACCTCACATTTCACCACTCTCTTCCTAGAAAAACCTGCTTTATTTTCATTTCTCAAATCTGTAAGCCCTTTTCCATCTGAAAAGATTTTGCCTAAAATACTATTCTCCTCATTCTCTGTCTGGCTGACCTTTACTCATCCTTCAAATCTCATCATTGAGGTCACTTCTTCATAGAAGCCTGCTCTGCCCATTGAATCTCAGTGAAGTCTGTTCACTGTGTCTTCTCTTGGAACTCTTCAGTTTTCTTTCCTAGAATTTATCTCAGGTCATCACTGTGTGTGTGTACGTTTGACTATTTTAATGTCTCTCGCCTCTCTAATTTAATAGCCTCCATGAGTACAGACCAGGTCTGCTGAAGTCATCATTATACACACAAAATCCAGCACAGTGGTTGGCACATAGTAGGCACTTGAGAAATGCTTCTTGAAGAAGTAAATGAAAATTATTATCATTGTTTTAAGTATCTTTCCTCCCAATAAGTCTGTAATCATTTAAAGGGCTGAGATTAAACCTGAATTGAGTTAAATTGAATTAAGAGACAAGTTAGGACTTTTTTTTTTTTTAATTAGTTGGAGGCTAATTACTTTACATCATTACAGTAGTTTTTGTTATACATTGAAATGAATTAGCCATGGATTTACATGTATTCCCCATCCCAGTCCCCCCTCCCACCTCCCTCTCCACCCGATCCCTCTGGGTCTTCCCAGGAGACAAGTTAGGACTTAATTTCATTGGAAAAAAAATTTTAAGTCAGAATTCCTCAAAAAAACATATTCTATAACTCTTTCATTATTTTAACATGAAATATAATTATCAAGGGGAACAAAGTGTGCAGTATGTTGTAAATTAGAAACACTTAAATAGGCTCAATCATATAAATTAATGTGTTACATAATAAAACTTGAAATATTTCTATAATTTTATATCTCCAAAGGAAAAAATTCCTGAAAAAGAAGCAATCATGATATGAAATAAATGCAGAACTGATAAAAGTATTTATGTCAGTTCCATGTATTTTATTGTGTTGTCTAAGAAATCCCTCACTGATTACTGACTTTGAGCTGTAATATTGTTCACCTTTTAAGAAATCTGCCATTTTTGTCTGCTGTTCAAAGACAGTAATACCTTTGCTTTGTGGTATTTCCTAACATTTGTATATTCCAACCAAATAATATGTTATTTTTTAGTATTAAGATACATCTTAAATTTCAGTGTATCTTATGTGTTTTTTTATGTAGCATAAATGATGCTCTCTTAAGTATATGCTGTTTCTCTTTTCTAAACTAGTAACATAGTACTACAGATGAATTATTTTTTTCCTTCAATCTTTGCTCGCCGACTGCTCGATGAATTCATTCACTTTAGCATTTTCTGTTTTCCCTTCTCTGTTTCCATGGAGAAGTGTGTCGTGATGTGTGTGACTCCATGGAAACAGATGAGCATCTCTTTCTGCATACACGGCTAATTAAATCGAACCTTTCTGTGCTGCCCATTGTCCTGGAGGGGGAGGGAAGAGGCCTTTCCTGAATGAGACATTTTAGTGGCAGTTCTTAGTGTTTACCCTAATCCAGTGGATTGATGTTTCAGCATAGCTTCTTACGGCCTAGATTCAGACGAATTAGGACTCAGTACTGGGCCCTGAAAACATAAACGTATGCATAGTAAAATCCTTTCATGCTATGACTATCGTTTATAGATGTGTAGATTTT